TAGAGTTCTTTGAAAACTCTGTTGAGTTATATGAATTATTATAACTTTTGATAAGCTATGAGTATCTATTAAAATAATAAATACTTTATTGAGATGTTTTAAGCATTTTGATAAATTTTCGAGCAGATAAGTAATAATATACCTTTACTTAGTTGTTGATAATTTAAGTTATAATATAATTATAAAAGAAATAATTATATTTGAGTTGAACAATTTAGAAGAATTACAGTGAGACATGATAATTGCGGAACGTATGGTTGAAGAGTGAAACATATTTAAGTATGAGATTACGAGTATTATTTGTGTTGATTTTTAAGTTATAATTGTTGTTTTCTGCCGTAGTTTTAATTAATATTTAAAAAAGACATCTAATAAAAAAAATCTATATCAACAATAACAACATTTAAAATTTTAAGATTAAGTTACCTTATCCATTTTTTCTTCTTTTCATATTCTGAATTAAATTTTCTAATCTTAAGAAATAGCTAAAAATAAGAAAATAAAACTACAAATTAAATTTAACAATAAAAAAGAAGAACTAAAAATTAACCAATAAATTTATAAATAGAAATATTGAAAATTCCATTATAGAATATAATATACACCTTAATTTTAAAATTAAGAACCCACACAAAATAATAAAAAATATAATAATAAAAAAATATAAAAGACCGATATTTTATAGAAACACATTTATATTATAGTAAAGTTGTAAAATTTATTTTAAATATTTAAAATTTAGAATATTTTAATAAATTAATTTGTAAAAGGTATGATATATTAGTTAATTGATGAGAAAGTAAATAATTAAGATATTGTATTGATATCCATAAAAAAATAAGTAAAAGATATTGATCCTTAAATTATTACAATCCGTACAATGTCTTATACATATGCACATTAATAATAATAAGAAGAAGAATTAGTTATATGAGTTTTTGCTATTTAGAAATTCTTAATAAAAAATTGATAGATGAAACGTGTGTATATATATATATATATATATATATATATATATATATATATATATATATATATATATATATATATATATATATATATATATATATATATATATATATATATATATATATATATATATATATATATATATATATATATATATATATATATATATATATATATATATATATATATATATATATATATATATATATATATATATATATATATATATATATATATATATATATATATTTTACTATCTAGTACTATTTAATCACAAGTTATACTGAAATTCAAAATTAATATTTTGTAAATTTGCACAACTTTTGTTCCTTTTTATTTTTATTTTTAAAATAAATGGACTTATCAGAATTTAGAAGTCTCTGGATTTTAAAAAGGACTGTGCAGTGGATCAGGCTGCATAGTGGTATAATATATATATATATATATATATATATATATATATATATATATATATATATATATATATATATATATATATATATATATATATATATATATATATATATATATATATATATATATATATATATATATATATATATATATATATATATATATATATATATATATATATATATATATGAGTTAGGTAGGACTCTGGTCAAATGAGATTAAGTTTAGAGAAGAGAAATCATAACAATCTCATGTCCAGAAAGGGACATGGTTAGGAGAGGAATCGGAGAGAAGGATAAATCAGTAATATATCTCTGATGTCTAAAACTCGGTACCACATGCATATTTGAGGAGAAGTTGGTGCATTTCACATTGCATTATAAATTTTAATTGTTGTTTCTGTGTGAGAATGATATGTGTATTTTTATAACTATCTTGTTGTTTACTTTCACCGCAAACATTTGTAAGGATTATTCTCACCCCTTTCTTTTTATTTGTGCGTGACTTTTATGCTCATGTTGCAGATACAAGTATCATGTAATGTTGTTGTTTTGGAGAATGACGGTCATTGCCTTCTTCATTATTTATTCCGTTTTGTTTATTAACATTCGTATCGCTTTAGTATTGTAACACAAGAGATGAAACGTTGTTTATTTCATTTGGATGATTGTTGAGTTGTTTTTTGCAACTGATGGTATATTTTAGCAATTTCATTTTATGAGACTATGTGAAAGTATTGTTAAATGTTTCATTTTTCGCTGTGAGCTGTTTAATTTAATAACAGGTGTTTTATTTGAGAATGTGTGACACCCTTGGGTGAAAACATAGACTGAATTATCGTATTATTTTGTGAGTCGGAAAATATGGTGTTACACTTTGATTATTTTATGGTTTTTTAATAATGAGAAAGAGGGGAAAACATACTCTTAGGGGGAGACGAGTATATTCTCTACTTAATCGAGGGGGAGTTTAATCACTCTAAAATACTTGTATCTATTTTTGTTACCACCTCTCCTGAGAGATGCATTGTCGTCATAAAAAATAAATAAAAAAGGAGGAGAATGTGGATCTATGTACTTGCAGGTTATAAAGAATCAATATCTGAAATTTTGATGACGACAACGCATGACAAATAACTTTCAACCCTAGAAGTATCTAATAACATCAACATAGAACTCAAGATTAAGTGCTTATACAAAATAGACACTATCAAGCAAAGGTTTTGAAGCTTCTTTGATGAAAGGTGTAAAATCTTGAGAGATCATGTATGTTTATCTATCTAGTAAATTAGAGCACTTGTACAATCAATTATAAAGATGAAAATTGAATGTATAATCAGTAAAGGTAGCACATTAATGATTTGCAATGGCTCTATATCCAAACTTTCCTATTTTGGCATTACAAATGACTATATTTGAGCTATCTAATAAATTAGAGCATTTTTCTAATCGATTAGATATTAAATTCAGCTCATAGATCGTTTCCTTTCTTAGGTTTTCCAACAATTATATAAAGGAGGGTCTTCCTCGCTTCAAATCACGCCACTTTCCAACGTTTTCATATTTTTTTGGAATTTATCTCTTTCACTCTTTTTGGAAAATATTTTTAACTCACTTCTAATTGCCTTAGCGCTACTGAATGAAGCCTTACTTGTGAGGAAGATATTTTTGCAAGTGGTTATGTTGGTCATTTATATTTCTTAAGGGTGTGATGCCTTTAAGAGATTGAGTTTTGATCGTACCTGATCAGAGAGATCGTTGGCAGGTTACGCGTCTGAGCTGTCGAACTGTTGACTTGACGGACAGAGGGGGGTATACCTGACCCTCTAGTGGAAGAGGGTATTTAATGAGCCCCCAGCGCAGGGCCAACGGTTACTATGCGGTGGGCTAGGCTGCCAGGCCCAACGCTGGTAACTGCTAGGGCCGACGTGGCGTCGTGAAGACCAGCACGTGGTCTTCGCCCTAGTGTAATTGTTCTGTGCTATCCAGGGGGTGGAGGACCGAATAATCAGAACACAGATAGTTACTTGATAACGTGTCTCCGCCTAGGGGACACGTTGAGAATGTGGGGAGGTCCGAGGAGCTTCTCGAGTTGGACGGGTTCTGCCCGACCGTGGGGCTGAAGAAGAGCGAGTCGGACAACTATGAGGATCCTGCTCGACTGTCGTTGGTTCGTGCTCGACGGGAGAAGATGTTCTGCCCGACAAATCTTTGTCTGACGATGAGGTCTTATTGTGTCTTCCAACCTGGTGGGATTTGGGCCTGCTCGACTATGGGCCAAGCGTTGGTACAGTCCAGAACAAGTCTGGTTCTTGAGATCATCTATAAATATCTGCTATTTGTTTATTGAGCTTTGCCGGAAAAAAAAGTTTGTTTTGGTTATTGAGATCAGCCATAAATCTCTAATCGGTTCGATATCGTAGTCTGGGTAAAAGCTGTCATTTGACTGGGGGATAAGTCTGCAGTAAAGGTTCATGGATATAACCTTTAAAAGCTCAAAGTTTATAGTGAAAATCTCAAGAAGACCTCTTGAGGATAGAATTAGGCCAACGTTCGACCAAATTTATATAACTCTCTGGTGCAATCTTTCTAACCCTATCCTTTATTTATTTGCAATTTAACTTCATTATTTAATTTTCTGCTACAATCACTCATATAAAATTACTAATACGATTTTAAACGACAAAAATATAAAATTAATTACAAATTTTAAATATCACAATTCACCACACTCTTGTGTTTGAAGTCACTTGTCCAACAATTCACCACACTCTTGTGTTTGAAGTCACTTGTCCAACAATTCTATGTTAGACTTTCACTTAAGAATTTTGACTGCCCCACAAAATAATTATATGTTGGTACTTTGCTAAAGAATCCTCGCCAAGAAGAATTCTGAATAACACTCGAGGGGCTCGCCTCAAAAAACATTTGAAAGACTCACCCCAAATAATACAATCGTGTTGTCAAGTCAATATTAACCTAGAAATTATGGAACAAACTATGACAAAACCCAAAGGTCATAAAAGAAATTGAAAGAAGTAACTATTAAGTTTAAACTTTCTCATTAATAAACTCGAAAGATGAGGTAATAAAAACCTTCTACCAAGTGCGGTAATACAAACGTTGAAAAGTAAACCCAATAACCGCTAAGTTGATGTCTTTTTGAGTTCGTCACAAGCTCACATGAGTGACTCATTTCAGACTTGTTAGCAAGGACTCGCCCAAGTTTTAAATTTTTGCTTTAGGAACTCATGGAATCTGAAGGATCGCAATATATTTGAGATAAATTAGATGGTAAAGATATATCTCACCCACTTTTTAACTAGTTTAGAGATTAATTTCATCTTTCAAATGAACTCCAACCCAAAGGTAATGGGCTAGAGTATTAAACCTTTAAAATATACTATAATCCAACCAAAGAGTAGTAATTAAATTTGTGATAGCAAAGGAATAACTAGTATATTAATTCATTCATCCTCATCATACAAAAAAGTCATCTATCATCTGGGAGCACAAGAAACCCAGCCCCACATAGCCAGCAGCACAACTAACAAAAAAAAAGCAAAACCAAAAAATAAAAAAACTTGTTTGACGTGTGTCGGCAACGTAATTAATTGATCATGAAACACAGGCAGTAGGGACCAGACACTTGGAAATGAAACCCAACATTTTCTTCTGCGCAAACAATAATAATTCAAGTCAATATAATGAATCAAATCACGGATATCACAATTCACAACATTTAATACTAAAAAAACAAAAGAGTGACGAACCCGTTTGGTAGTGCGAAGAAGTTCAGGAGATATTTTGTAGAGATCTTCATCAACTGGTTTCGGAAGTCTGGTCGGTAAAGGAGCCTTTCGAACGACGACGTCGTTTACATGTAATGTCTTCTTCTTGTTGTTCATTGGTTTCCTTGGATGTTCCGTTACATCGTACACTTTGCTCTGTTTTCTCATGGTTGTTTCTCTGTTCCTCGTCGTCTACACATTATAAACCATACACAAAACATCACACTCATTCTACATCACTTATCTTGTTCTTATCTGAACCAAACAATATGCACTAAATAAAAAATTTATATAAAAAAAAACATGTGGTATTCAGACATCATGTCCTTTCTCAAACATGACATTAATATGTTATCACAAAAAATAATTAAACAAAAATTGACAACCTTTCCAAGTTTCTTAAAATCAACCCCATAAAGATCAGGATCAGTGTCACCAGATGAAGAACTGTAACGAATCAAACCAGCTTGTCTTGCATTCTCAAAATACTGAGTTATCGGCAACTCGTTTGCATTCTCCCAGTTCCCAAAAGCTGGTATTTGGCCATTTCTCTTCCAATATTCCTATCAATAAAAACAGACATAATCATTTTTCATGAACTTTAACAACTAGCTTAAGAAAAAGAAAGGGAAAAGGGTCGCTGAAAATAAGCTTACATCCATTTTTTGGTTTCTTAAATCAAAACAAAAGATCTTGCTTCACATAGAAAGTGAGCGCTTCTAGTGTTTTTGTTGTGCTTGTGCCTTTACAAGAATGAATGAAGATACAACTTTTAAAGGGAGAAAAGTAACAAGAAGCTATGATGTGGTTCCCAAAAAACCTCAGACAGGGTTATTAATTCCCTGAACAGAATTTATAGAAAAGAACCTGAGCAAAAGTAAAAAGAGTGGGTTAAAGTTTTTTACTTACGTAGACAGAGAAAGTAAGAAAGGGGTGCATTGAAATTGAACAGAGAAGCAGAGAAAACAGAAACAGGTATTGATAAGATTGAACAACAAAAACAGGACCTAACAAGAATTCTGTTGTGGCATTGATTTTGTTCCTTTTACTACTAAAATTCTATACAGACATTTAGTGTATAATACACAAATACTAAGAATTGTTATTTATGTGTAAGGAGGGTTAAAGAAATCGAATGAGGAATAAGCGTGGCTGAGAAGTTGAAGAGTATGTTTGAGATAAATATATATGAAAAGACTGAGAACGAATTTGGAAGCTATGAAGCTGTCACTGTTTGACTATGTTGCATTTAACTTTTCCACTAATAACGGAATGACCCCTACCTAATAAAGTTGCAAAACTTTTTCAATGGGAAAGAAAATTTTAATTATTATATATTTATGGATGTGTTTCAATGAAAACAAAACTTTAATTTATGGTGAATTCTTATCTTTATACTTATGGATCTGTTTCAATGGGAAAGAAAACTTTAATATATATTTATAGATCTGTGTTTTTCGAGCAAAATAGATCTCACGCTTTTGTTTTACTTTTACCCATATCGCATATACATCCACACGTGGCAATAAACGTTTTTGCTTCTTAATTGAAATGAGTTCAAACAATTTGGATCTCAAAAACTTATTAGAAATAAATATAGCCACGTTCCAAAACCATTACCGGTCTGTCCCATCTGAATGATTTATTTGAAATAAAATAATATTTTAAAATGAGTTATTTATTTTAATTTTTAATATATATCTTTTGTTAAGAGCAAACTTCCTTGAGTTATAGGACAAGGTAACCTCCTGAAATCTATAATAACTAGTGAAATGTTTTTCTCCTTTATTTCTCATTCTACTGCTCTTTAAATAGCAGTTCAATTACAGAAAAGATAGATTCTCACAATCAATCCAACGGATATCCTAAATTGTAGGGATTGATAGTGGGTGCTGCATAGATTGGCTACTAACGGTAATGACAGAAATTAGTAAGATATTTGGTGAGCTGTAATTCTTCTAGAATCCTAGGATAGTACAGCTGTTAAAACTAATTTATTCATAATTGCTGAGATATTTGGGCCTTGTCTTGATTCTTGTAGGTCTTCCTCCTATGTTGGGCTGGGCTGCAATGTTGGAATCTTCTGCTTGTTCTGCACTGCTGTTGTTGTTAGTAATATGGGTGTTAACATTACCGCTGCCTGGGAAAATCACCTTGTCCTCAAGGTGATAAGTATCAGAAATGTGGGACCAAGTTTCCCAGCTAGTGTCTTCCGGATTAAGACCTTGCCATTGGATCAGAACCATATGAGTGGGGGGGTCTGTTGAGGTATCCATTTTTTAGTCCAGTATGGATAGAGGTGTTATGATGGGATGATTGTTGTGGGATGTAGGTGGTAAAGCAGGGGAAGAGGAAGTGATTGGACCATGATGAGGTTTGAGAAGAGAACAGTGGAATACAGGGTGTATTTTAGAGGATTCTGGCAGTGCTAGGCGATAGGCAACGGGTCCGATTTGTTCTGTAATTTTGAAAGGGCCATAGTATCGTTCAGATAACTTGGTGTATGAGGAAGTGTGAACAGATTTCTGACGGTAAGGGCGGAGTTTGACGTAGACCCAAGAGTCCACTTTGAAGGATACATCGCGCCGTTTAGTGTCTGCATAAAGTTTCATTCGTGTTTGGGCTTTGGCAAGGGTATTTTGTAGTTTGGTGATGAGTAATTGTCTGGATGTGAGGAGTGAATCTACTGCCTCGACTGTAGAAGATCCTAATAGATAGTGAGGAATGTTGGGGGGAGGTTTCCCAAAAGTGATCTCAAAAGGTGAGTATCCAGTGGATGAGTGAAGGGAGGTGTTATATGACCATTCAGCAAGGGCGAGGTATGTATACCAATGGTTGGGCTGTTTGTGCACAAATGCTCTAAGGTATTGTTCCAGGACTCAGTTGAAAACCTCTGTCTGCCCATCGGTTTCGGGGTGGTAGGCAGTACTCATTCGAAGTGTTGTACCACAGAGTTTGAAGAGTTCCCGCCAGAAGCGACTAATGAAAACAGGGTCGCGGTCTGAGACTAAACTCTTAGGAAAACCATGATGTTTACACACGATATCCATGAATAGAGTGGCAACTTTGAAAGCCGTGAAGTGAGTAGGTAGGGCGCCTAAGTGGACACCTTTTGAAAATCTATCCACCACGACAAGTATGACTGAGAAACCGTGTGAGTTGGGTAATCCGGTGATGAAATCTAAGGATAAGTCTTCCCAAATGGCAGAAGGAATGATGAGTGGTTGAAGGAGACCGACTGGTTTCTTGGTGATGTGTTTGATTTGTTGACAGGTGGGACAGTTGGTGACGAAGGTTTGCACGCTGTTTTTAAGGCCTTCCCAGAAGAAATTGGATTTGAGGCGTGCAAGGGTTTTGGTGATGCCCATGTGTCCTCCTAAAGGAGTAGAATGAAACTCTTCTAATAGTTGTGTGCAGAAGGGACTGTCTCGGTCCAGCCAGATACGGTTTTTGTATAGGATAAGACCTTGGTGTATGGTGTGGTTTGGGTGGGATGATGGGTTGTTTCGTATCTCGTGAAGTAGTTTGTGGAAGGTTGGACTAGTTTGAAGTGATTTGCGAAGATGGTCTAGAAAGAGGAAGTGGGGAATAGAGAAAGAGAGATGCGTACCTGGGCCTTCTGGAGCTCGTGATAGTGCGTCGACGACTACGTTACTCTTTCCAGATTTGTATTGGATTGAATAATCATAGCCGAGAAGTTTGGCGAGGTATTTGTGTTGTTCAGGAGTTTGAATAACTTGAGAAAGAAGTTCTTTGAGGCTCTTATGATCAGTAAAGATGGTGAATTGATGTCCCAATAGGTATTGTCTCCACTTTTTAACTGCGACAGTAATGGTGTGAAGTTCCCTAACATATGTGGAGGATCGTTGTAATTTATTACAGAAAGGCTGACTGAAGAAGGCAATGGGGTGTGAATTTTGCATGAGAACATCACCCATAGCACTTCCTGAAGCGTCGGTCTCGATATCAAAAGGAATGAAAAAATTTGGTAAAGCTAGAGTGGGGGTTTGTGTCATGGCAAGTTTGAGGTTATCAAAAGATGTTTGAGCTTCTGGTGACCAGATGAAGGCGTCCTTGCGAAGTAAGGCTGTGAGAGGTACGGCTATAGAAGCGTAACCCTTGACAAATTTTCTGTAAAAACCAGTTAGACCAAGGAAACCTCGTAGGGCTTTGATGGATTTGGGTTGAGGCCATTCAAGCATAGCTTGGATCTTCGAAGGTTCGGGTTGGACGCCATTCTCAGAGATGATGTGTCCAAGGTAAACAAGTTGACGCTGAGCAAAGGAGCATTTGGATTGCTTGAGGAAAAATTTGCCTTCGAGTAATTTAGCGAAGACTTGCTCTAGGTGTATGAGGTGAAGTTCGAGGGAAATGCTATAGACGAGTATATCATCGAAGAAAACTGCGACAAACTTGCGAAGGAAAGGTTGCAGAAGCTCATTCATAGCTGCTTGGAATGTGGATGGGGCGTTGCAAAGCCCAAAAGGCATTACGCGGTATTCGTAATGGCCTTGGTGTGTTGGAAAGGCAGTTTTCTCGATGTCTGATTCGTGCATTCTGATTTGGTGAAACCCTTGGCGTAAATCCAGTTTAGAGAACCATGAAGCACCACCAAGTTCATCGAGCAATTCGTCTATGGTGGGCATCGGAAAACGGTCACGGATAGTGATGGCGTTAAGGGCCCTGTAGTCCACACAGAAGCGCCATGTTCCGTCTTTTTTCTTAACAAGTAGAACAGGGGAGGAGAAGGGGCTGCGGCTGGGTTGTATGAGTTGGTGATGGAGCATATCTTTGACCTGTTGTTCAATTTCATTTTTTTGTGAGAAAGGGTAGCGGTAAGGTTTAACGGAGACGGGTGAAGAAGAAGGATGTAAGGTAATACGGTGGTCTGTGTTTCGTGAAGGTGGTAAGGTAGGAGTATGGTTGAAGATGGGTGAGTGTTTCATGATTAGTTCGTTGATGGGTGTAATATGGTGGGTATTAGGCTCTGGGTCGGGTTGTAGGATTTGGATGTGGAAAAATTCAGAGGCTGAATTAGTTTGAACACATCGTTTGAGTTGGTGGGCTGAGATGGATAGTGGGCCTGGATTGGCATCAGCTTTCAAGAGGATGTTGGTGTTGTTGTAAGTAAATGAGAGGGTAAGGGAGGTGTAGTCCATAAGGACTGGGCCCAGAGATTTGAGCCATGGGGCCCCAAGGATAATGTCTGCCCCACTGAGAGGTAGAACGTAGAAATCAACAATGAAGGGGTGGGATTGAAGCAATAGTGACACGTCGTTGCACAGCTGTTGGCATTCCAAGAGTTGACCGTTACCCACCATGACTTTCAGTGTGTTCACAGGGGATGATGGTAAATTAAGAAATTTGGCTATTCTACTCTGTATAAAGTTGTGGGTACTACCTCCATCGATGAGTACGGTAACGACCTGATTAGCAATTTGTCCTAGTATACGAATGGTGGCGGTGGCGGCGGAACCAGAAAGGGAGTGGAAGCTGATTTGGCCATCGAGATTGTCAACGGTTGTTAATGAGTTGTCTGGGTCATTGGTTATGGTAATGGGTGGCTCGGTTGTTTCTGGGGAGGAATCTGGATCGGGGTCGTCAGTGACAAGTAAGAAGAAACGTCCTTTACATTTGTGGCCTGAAATAAATGTTTCCTTGC